TTGCGCAAACAATGCCTACGAAGCTCAAAGATTCAAATCAAGTTTCTATAATTGCCTGCTTAACGTTGGACATTTGGAAAGCAAAATATTCTTCATGTCTCTCTCATTTCTCTGGCTATATAATCAGAAGAAGCTAACCACAAAAACTCAGCTTAGAACAAAACTGTACATATCATCTCCAGTTCTTCTGTCTATTGATCAGATAAAAATGGCAGCCATAGAAACTAACGCACACAGTTCTATCCATGTTCGATCCAACAGCTTTCCCTCTGCACCTCACCCTATTTTATCACAATTTGAGGAGCATCTAAACAGATTGAAGTCTTCTGGAGTCGCTTCTTCTTCCTGTTCTATAAGCCATAAACTTGGTGGCTTGCAGGATTTGCATGACTTCACACAGAAATTGCTTCAATTGTCAACCATCCAACAATCCTTAGGCCGAGAATGCAATGAAAAATCAGTTGATCAACTACTTGAAGGATCTCTCATGCTCCTGGATGTCTGTAGCGTGGCCAAAGATTGCCTGCAACAATCAAAGGAAAGCGTTCAGGAACTTCAGTCTGTCATCAGGAGGAGAGGTACTGAAGCTGGATGCAGAATTGAGGGTGGAAAATACTTGACTTCAAGGAAGATGATGAAGAAGGCAATAAGAAAGGCCTTGGGAAATTTGAAAGGAATCTTGAAGGATTCTTCCAACAAAGACAATGAGACATCGCCCATCCTTAGCATCTTCAAAGAAGCAAAAGATGTCACTGTGAACACATTAGAGTCTTTACTATTATTTATCTGTGATCCAAAGGGACAATTTAAGCAAAGCAGATGGTCAACGATCTCAAAGATGATGCCTGCTAGGAGAATAGCTTGTGACTCTGAAGAATCAAAAGCAAATGAATTTGAAAAGGTGGACGCCGCTTTCATCAGTCGGAAACATTCATCTGTGGAGAATTTCCAAAACCATTTGGAGAATTTGGAGATGTGCATTCAAGATCTAGAAATAGGAGTTGAAGGCCTATCAAAGCAACTAATTAGAACCAGAGTTCAGTTGCTCAATATCTTCAACCATTAGTCAAAAAAGAATAGTTTTACATGTAATTATAGACATCCATATTAAATTTTTCCCAGGGGTGTCTCTCAACTGTACAGAATGATATACATGTTATTCTGTCAATGAAATATACTTCTTCTAGGATCAAATTATAGCTACTTTATCTTACCCTTTCTGTCTGATCTTCCAAATCTCAGTTATCCATATTAGACCCAGAGAGAGAGAGAGAGAGAGAGAGAGAAGAATTGTTTTCTTTCTTTTGTCATTACATGATATACAGTAATCTTGCAGAAGATGAAAATGAAAACTGTTGTATAACCTATTCATTTTCTCCTCCCTCTTACACATAGATACAGAAGACGATAAGATTAATAATTGACAGTCCCACATGGGGTTCAATTATTCAAATCAATTTGACACATATAAATTACCCTTTTTTTTATTATTATCTACTCATTCATTGTGATTGCTTCAAGTTAAGCCATAACAATGAACAAAAGTGTTGTTAGGAAAAGCCAATATTCTAATAATTATTTTATTAAAACACATGGTCCATCTCGCCTAACTTCATACATATAACTAAAAATAATTCTCATGATTATATTTATTTGTCAACATGTGCAGCAGATGAGTTTCATTTAGAGCTCATTATGTCTTTACTTGCAATATGATATGCAATTATAGTGGGAAGAAAAGGCATGGAACTCTCCCTCGTGTGTTGCAATAAAAAATAGGAATTATTTTAAGTTTGGGTTAACGAAATCATAGATTAGTCTGAGTTGTAATGTCCCTGTACTAGAGACATTGCATTAGCATTTCTGAAATTACTTGCAGATCTGAATCAAAGTCAGTTAATCATAATGTGATGTCATTCCCTTTTTCCTTCTTGAATGCGTCTACATTAAGTGAAAGAAAACGGAAAATGAAACATTTTCTTAAGGGAAAAAAATAATGCTAGAATTTGCAACAGCTACAAGCTGATCAGTTTACTCAAGATGAATAAGAAAAAGACACTAAGAACAACATTTTTGCTTTTTTTTAATCCTTTTATAAATGAAATAATGGCCTGTGTTGTTGAGGAAAAACTACAGAAATGTTGTCACTCGGATAAGAAATATTGCCATCCAGATATGAGCAGCCACTGAGATGTGATACGAAGAAACTTCGCCAGCCATTAACCATAATTGAAATTCATTCATTAAGTACATGCTCCAGAGGCCAGACAAGTTTATAGACCAGAGGGTAAAATAGTATTAATAATCGGATAGGACATCTTCTTCTGCAGACAAGATCCCATAAAGATGCTGCTTCTCTGGTGGCATGCCTTGTTGCTCTTCAGTGTTTTGAGATTTTAAACCTAGATGTTAAGATGGAAGAGACACTGTTATAGTATCCCAGATGTGGCAAATGAGTTGTTGTGATTCCCGAGGTTAAAGCAAATGAGAGATGAGCTAGGAAGCTTGGTGAGAGGGGAGCCAAGGCGCCAACAATGCTGTGGCAGCTCCAAGATTCTAGTATGGCCTGATTACTTTGTGAAATTTGGAAAGTAAAATATTCTTCTTGTCTCCCTCATTTTTCAGGCTATATATGCAGAAGGAGGCAACCATTGGAACTCATCTCCTAGCTTTCTGCTTTCAGATAAGAGAAAATGGAGGCCATAGAAACCTACACAAAGAGCTCCCTCCATATTCGCTGCAACAGCTTGCCCTCCACATCTTACCCCTTATGTCACAGTTTGAGGAGCATTTAAACAGATTGAAGTCTTCTGAAGTGGCTTCTTCATCTTCTCTAAGCCATAGACTCAATGGCTTGCAGGATTTGCATGATTCCACTCTTAAGTTGCTCCAATTGTCAGCCACCCAACAAGACTTAGCACGAGAATGCAGCCAAAAATCGGCTGATAAACTATCAGAAGGATTTCTCTTTCTATTGGATATCAGTGGTAAAGCTGAGGAGGAAAGCATTCAAGCACTTCAATCAGTTATTAGGTGGAAGAGGGGAGCTGAAACTTCTGAATTCAAAATTGAGGCTGGAAATTACCTTGCTTCTAGGAAGAAGATGAAGCAGGAAATAAGAAAGGCCTTGAGAAATTTGGAGGGAATCTCGAAAGATTCTTCAATAAACAATGACGATGATACTTTGCTTATGCTTAGCATCTTGAAAGAAGCAGAAGCAGTTAGTATGAGCTCATTGGAGACTTTGTTGTTTCTTTATTTGAGATCCAAAGGGACAACTAAAGCAGAGAATATGGTCATTGATTTCCAAGCTGATACAGCTTAAAAGAGCAGCTTATGAATCTGAAGAGTCAGACACAAATGAGTTTGAAAGGTGGATGTAGCTTTGCTGTCTTTTATCAGTCCCAAGCATTCACCAATGGAGAATTTTCAAACACATTGGAAAATCTGGAGACTTGCGTTCAGGATCTAGAAGCGGAAGTTGAAAGCCTATCAAGAAATATCATTAGAATCAGAGTTTCTCTTCTGAATTTCTTCAATCACTAGGTAGATTCAGGCTAAAAAAAATCACTTGGTAGAGAAAATTTAAATGACAATATCATGGACGCAGAAGTTCAATTTTTGTCCATGGGTGTCTCGTAATTGTATATAGATGTGATAATATCATATTCAGTTACTCAATACATAGAAAATCATATTATAGCCACTTGATGCCGTGTTTCCCTTTTTCCCCCCTTTTACTGTGCATTCTCCACATTTAATCCTTCAATTTCTCTTGAAAATTTCCCCATATTTCATATCTGAAATAATTGAAAGGAAAGTGAACGTGGAACAAGAACATTTTCATTTCATTGATAGAACAACATCATCAGCTTACTAAAACGGAAACCTCCCTTATAATGACATTTTGTCATTTCCTATAATTCACCTGTTAATATGACAGCCTACTTTAAATTTTTCATTTACTGACAAAGGATTTATTTATGCTAAGAATAAAAGAAATGAACTACGCATTAGGAGGACTAGAAGAAAATTATTATAATCAATTGTTGCGTGCACTTTGAGTTCATGAAAAATTTGAATTATTGCCTAACCGTCAAGATTATCTCTATTTTATGTTGATAATTGAAAATTTTCAAATCATAATGTTGTCTGTCCACGTTCTCATTTTGCATGTGCTAGCTACAATCAACAACGTGATGTCTACCTTTGATTTAAGATCAAGTCAATCGAAAGGTCATCAATAATATTACTGTTGAGACAAGCACTGCAGCATATGTTGCCCAATGAGAAGCATTTCCTGGTTTACAAGACTTGCAGGATAAACCATTACTGAAAGGAAGGCAGATCCATGGACCGGACAGTGAATTCAAACTCAAATGACAGCGAATTCCCATTACCATACTCTCTTGTATGAGAAGAATTACTTTTGCAATTAGTGGTATATTAGTGCACTTGCTGTGATTATTATTATATCTTACTCTTCATGGTACGGAATCTGGAATATGCTTTGAAGTTGCTTGAAAATTGTGACATACTGAAACACTTAACCAACGTTTCAGTTTTCTGTATTAGCTGTAAGCACGTGTGAAGCAACACTAGCTCAACGTCAGAAACAAGTGTCTGTTCTCCAAAGGAGTGGCTAGCGTAAACACAGCCATAGTTTCAGCCGTTGAACATGTATACACATACCAAGACTAGTCACTCTCATATCTTGGAGATTAAATAATCATACATGTGAGGGAGCCAGAAAAAAAAAAAAAAACTTGCATGAGTTGGGAAGATTCCTTGAGGGAGACATTGTTCTGACATACAAGAGCTCATGTTTGGATCCAGAATTTAAACTAACTTGAAATTCATTGAGATTTGATAAGAGGAGATTCCATTTGTCCCTTATGCCCGTAGTATATATGGAGCCACTTCCAGTTGTACAGGCACATTCATAGACTCAATTTCTCATCATTCAACCATAAGCCCTTTCCCTTCTCTTGAGTGAAAAAATGGCACCTTCTTTCCATGCTCGTTCAAACAGTTTGCCCTCTAGACCACACCCTCTCGTTTTACGATGCAATGAACACATAGACAGATTAAAGGCTTCTTGTGAAGCCTCTTCTTCATCATTGCTTGTCCATAACATAGAGGGCCTGCGAGATTTACATGATTGTGTTGAAAACTTGATTCAACTTCCCCTCATCCAACAAGCCCTCCTCCAAGAGTGTGAAGATAATTTATTAGATGAGCTTTTGGATGGATCATTAAGGCTCATAGACGCATGTACCGCTGCCAAAGATTCATTGCTTCACACAAAGGAGTGCAACCGCGAGCTACGATGGATTATAAGGAGAAAAAAAGGAGGCGATTTGGAGGAAGCCAAGAAGTTCTTGACTTCTAGGAAGGTAGTGAGAAAGGCCATCCTGAAAACCTTGGGAAACATGAGGTGTTCAACTAGAAAAAGCAGCTTTTCCCCTACAAACTTGGCCTTGGTTAGCTTGTTAAAAGAAGTCGAAGCTGTCACTCTTTCTGTTTTCAAGTCTTTGTTGAGCTTTATCTCTGGATCAACACAAGCAAAATCAAGCAGATGGTCTTTGGTATCAAAGATCGTCCACAATCCCAAAACGGTAGCAGATGAAGAGAATGAATTTGCACAAGCAGATGCGGCACTGCAGTTTTTTGTACTTAGCTTGACCAGCAAGTCAGTGTCAGAAAACACAAGTAATCTGCAAGCTCAGCTGGAAAAGCTTGAGTCTCGAACAGAAGATCTTGAAGAAGGGCTTGAGTTCTTGTTTAGGCGTTTGATTAAGATCAGAGTTGCCCTTCTTAATATCTTCAATAACTAGGGGAACAAATCTGGGGCATGAAAACTTTTGTAGAACTGTAGATATTCACATGTACATGAGAAAAAGATTAATTGTAGCTTTCTTTTTTTTATCATCAAAGCATATTCTTAACTCGATCTTTGGTCGCATTATATGATTATATCAGTGATTATCTCCCTTTCTAAAGCGCATAATTATTTGACAAAATTCTGAGCTACCAGAAATTGAACTCATCTATATCTATGATATGCACTTCCAATTTTCATTACTAGAGGCGTGTAATTATTCAGTATATGATCGCAGAACTTGGTTAGCTATTTTATTTGTGAAATGAAGGATTATAAGATTTTTGGCAAACTCAGAAAATGTAAAAACTTCTTGAGATTCCTTGTGTAAGGATAGATCCAGAACCTCAGATGGAATACGGGGGAACTTGTTACATCATTCATTAACCTTTCCTCTGCTACCAAACATACTACAAAAATTTTTTTTTTTTTTTCGGTCAAACGCCAATCACAAAATCAAATTCTACTACCAAACATAATACAAAAAAATAAATTCATGGAACTCAAATCACAAGCATTTATCCCTAAAAGAGATCTGTGCTACCTCTACTGAATCATTTAAACAACTTGGCAGGCTCACCCATGGGTTATATCAGTAAGAGATGGGCATGTCCTTTCAGCTATTGAAAAGAACTAAGGTCCCTTTTGGCATGAAACAATGAAAATAAGGAATAAGAACTAAGATTGCAATTAAAAAAAAATCACTAAAAAGTATTTAGTATAAAAAATTATTTGTTACTTGAGATTAAGCAAACCCATGAAAGTGGAATTGGGAAATACTACTCCCTATTTCCCAATCCCATATACATGTGTTAGTCTAATCCTATATAACAAATAATTTTTTATGCTAAATACTCTTTTAATAGATTTTCTCAATTCTAATCCCAATTCTCACTCCTCATTTTCAATGTTTCATACCACCTAAGAGCTATAAGGGCTTGGCTTAACTCATAATCAAAGAGAAAGCCCAAAGAACACACACGCAAGTGAAGCAGCTCTTGTTCCTTCAAGAGAAGCATACCGAGTAGTCCACACGTGCATAAGAGTAACGTTTTAAAGTTGAATGGAAGGAACCTAGTTTGTTAGGATACTTGAGCTTTATGAAAAGTGCAGAACTTTGGCGTTTTCAAGTTTTGGGACCATCCATAGGACTTATAAAATATTAGGAACCATGAAATTAATTAACGTGTTTACAGATCTTGCTCCCCTTCTGCAGAACAAGTGAAAATGATTATAGTTCAATATATAGTTGTTAAAATTCTTAACTACTGATCGCTTTTTCCTGGAAAGTGGATATCGAAGCCAAGACTCCGATTGTTTATGCCCAGGAACAAGTCAAAGGATGGTGAGCTCTTGGCCCACAAAAAATAAAGGCAGGGGTGATTCTAAAATAATGGAAGAAGTTTCCCAGATTTTTTGTAAACTGACGTCCATGAGAGCGAGGTCTAGGGAGTGTCTGGATGAAACCAAATTATAGTTTGAAAATAACTTCTGGAAAATAGATTCTGAAAAAAATAAATTTATGAAGAATAGATTTGTGAAAAGTGATTCTAAGAAATAAGAGTATTTGGATAATTGCTAGCAGAAGCACTTTTTATATGTATAAATTATTAAAAAAAACATAAGTTAATATGATAATTACATAAAACATAGATTGTGTGATATATTTTAATTTGAAGAAATAAAATTGTTAATAATATATTTTTTACCAATATAATTAATAATACATAAGATAGTGTAATTAATAAATAATTAATATGTGTATATTTATTTATAAGATATAAGATTAAATATGTTTATAAAAAATTAATTTAGGGGTGTTAAAGTCATATTATTGTTGAGATTTACTCTAATAACCATAATCATACTCTCCCATTTGAACTAGAAGTAGAATGGATTCATTTCTCCCAAAACCGTTCCAAAACTATGGTTTTGACTCAAACCATGGTTTCAGATAATTTGTGTCTGTTTGGGTTATTTTTGCCCTAAACCATGGTTTGGCCTGCTATCCAAACAGGGCCCTGATTCATTTCTTGAACCACTTTTTTTTTTTTTTTTAAAGATCTTCATAAACTGATTTCCATTAATTTGAAGATGGCATAGGATGAACACGCTGGATAAGATGGGATAGGGGATGGAGCAATCAAAAGAACTTAATAATTCCAGTCCAACTAAAATGGGAATAAAAACAAGAAGGAAAGATAGAAAAAGGCTTCGGACCAGGTCAGGGAGGTAGCCGAGATGAAGAGCAGAAACAAAAATGCTCGAATCATTATTTCAGTCCTACCGCCACAAGAGCCTTTTCTTTGTGGGGGGGAAAAAAATCAAAAGACATTGTTTTTTAATATTATTAAAAACAATAATGGGCTAAAAAATTTTTAAACATCTATGATTTCTCTGTGAATACATTTTTAAAGTAAAATAACATCTAATACCCTTATCTTATTTTTTATTTATACTTTAATTTTATTTATAATACACCTAATATCTTAATATTGTTTTTATTAATACATTTAACATCTCGAATGTTATGTTTTAGTTATATTTAGTAATACTAGATGTCTTGTAAATAATATTAGGATGTTAAAAACATAAAAAATATAATCATAATATTAAATGTATTATAATAAGATGATAAACGAGATGAAAGTATATTCAGAGATAAGATGATAACATTGGATGTGAGTTTACGCTGCTTTTTCTTATTGGATCCTCTGCCCCTACTTACAGGACAAAAAGTACACAAAAGCCTATATGAAAACTCCGTGGCATGCATCCAGAAAACTGAATCCTCGGGATGTGAGTCGCTGCCACTGGATACCTGCCCGTCTTGGAGTGAGCTCATTTCTTGTGGACACGTGTACGGTGGGAGGTGACTCACCTTTTATCACTTCGGGCCAAACACAGCCGCTTATGATGGGCCACCCGGCGTCCTGACTTAACTCGGCGTGGTGGCCTCTCCTGCAGTCCAATATTGTAAAACGCTCCATAATGAGGACAAAGATTTTTTTTTAAAAAGGCGGTGTAATATGGACGATATGTAGTACTCCTCCGATTCTTAATATAAGACTCATTTAATTAATTTGATTAGATTAAGAAAGTTAGGTAAGTTAGGTAATTATAAGAAATGTGACATGTTTTTCCTAAAACACCAAAATCATCTTTCTTAATACCCCCTCTCCCTCTTCTACTTGATTATAGTTGATGGAGTATCCATATGGGTAATTTGGAGAAAATTGATAAATATGAGAAATGGGTCTTATATTTAGGACCAAAACCAACTCAATAATTGAGTCCTATATTAAGAACCGGAGGAGTAATACCCCTGTAGAAATATTCTGGCAAAAAAAATGTATCCCTGTGGAAATAATTAATTTTAAAAAATATTATTGCATAGTCCCAATTTATCATGCCTTGCTCAACTTTTGCAACTATAACGGTTCTCTTGTGAATAAAAGCCACTATCCCTTTTTCCGGGGGAACACGTTCACATGGTTTGCATTTTCTTAATGCCATTTTGGAGCATTTCAATCAGGAATATTTTCTTTTCTTCAGCGACTTTGCTTCCTGCGTTGGAACATTTTTTTTCATGTTCTTTACTATTTTCAAATGACTGGGTTTTGCATTTCATTCTGCTTTGTCTTGTCAGAATTTTGATGCGACAAATTGCCAATAAATACTGACGTGGCATGACGCTTTAGTTTATTCTGAAACGCTTGCTCCTTTTGAAGTTATGCTATTAACGCGGCTGGTCAAAAGAAAAAAAGATTGAATTTTTGAAAAATTGGTAAAAAATTTCTAATATGTTACCTCATAATCATAATTATATGTGTTCAATTCAAGTTTTTTTAGTTAATTAAATTTTTAAACAGGAATTTTTTTAATCAATTTTCTCTTATTTTTTCTGATTATGTATATTTATTATATTATATTATTGTAACAGTTTCTGGGACTCTCGCGGGAGCTCGCAAGCCAAGAAGAAATTTGACTTCTTCCACATTTAACTTCATCACTCATCGTTGGCAATTAAAAAAAAAAAAAAAAAGTTCATCACTTGATCGCATTTCACTGCGAAGTACTCTGTTCCTGGTTTCAGTTCCCATTTCCAGTAATCACATTGTCCCTCTCATCGCGTTTTTGGGTTCCTCATATATGCTTGCGCACTTCACACCTTTTTTCCATTCAGCCCTTCGTTTGTTTGGTGTTTGTGTTCCTGCTTTAATTCATTCAACTTTCTTGGTGAAGACTTCATATCACCTTTAGCTTCTGGGTGTTGCTCAGAGTAAGATTTTCTTTGTTAATTTATTCTATGAAGTGTTACTTTGAGCATCTGAAACAACTGTATGTCTCCTGCTTTTGTGGTGGTGTCTTTGTGTATTGTGTACTTTTCTTGGCTTAGCTTGCGTAAGGATTGGGCTTCAATTTTTTCTTTTTTCCGGGAATTTCACTTTATCTCTGAAAGGACTGACTATGATTGTTCATTTGTACTAGCAGTGACCAACGCAATGGCTTCTTCTGTCTGTGTGAGCTTGAAAGCTAATCCTGATTTTGCGAAAACAAGAACAGACCATCATCTTCTTCGTCAGGATAATGGGTTTTGGGGAGAAAGAATCAAAGGAAGCCTGAATAACAATATGTGTGTGAATCAGTTTGTGACGAGTTTGAGAACAGGAGAGAAAATGAAGAAGGCGAAACCATGTGCTGCCTCGGCGGTTCTGACTTCCAATAATGCCCACGAATCCGTGGTAAGCTAAATTCAATTCTGGGTCTGGGATCTTTTTCCCCCAAATGGTGTGGAAGATCAGTTTTCTACTTCCTCAATGTTCGAACTATGGAAAAGAAATGATGATTACTTTCTGCAATTTCCTGTAATTTGTGTCTACTCACAGTTGGTTTCGATTTCCAGGGATGGAAAGTACCATCAGTTCTCAGTCGAAGGGCTGACCCTAAAAATGT